ATAAAATGAACTACGGAAATTAATAACCACCTCTTGGTAGTTATAGAAAGTAATTAAGATAAATGTATCAGTTAGTGGACAGTTAGTGAACATCATCCAATTCATTAGACAATTAAAGTGGTACAAAATTTTAAATATTAAGCTTATAATGATATGTACGATTCTAAATAAATTTGTTATTTATAAAAATTTAATAATGAATTTATTTAAAATAATATCGTATCATTAAAGACTTAATATTTGAAATGTTTTATCATTTTATCTAACAATTGATCCATGTCCATTAACTGGTCATTTACTTTACCTACGAATTACATCGTTCTGCATTTTACTGTACTGTACAATAACAGAAAAATAATAGAAAAAAATTGAGTAATAAACTAATGCAATCAAGTCAGACGGACAACTTGCATAGCTCTCTTTTTAAAGTCGAGAAAGGTAGAGAGAGAGAGAGAGAGAGAGAGAGAGAGAGAGATTTAAACCTAATTTAAAGTTAAAGTAACGTTAGTGTAATCGGGCCTTAAAATCTCATTGTATAGACACCGCTTGACTCGACGTTGAGGAGCGATGCGCCACTTGCATCGCGAATGCCTGCGAATGTATTCATCCAGTCAATCCACAATCGTAATCGTAATCCGCAGAGTACCGATCGATTCTGGCCACGCATCACGTGCAGCCTCCAACCCGCCCGTGTACGTACCGCAGCTCGATATTGTTGGACGTGGCCCGTGTATCTGGGTCAGCGACAACGGCTATAATATCCTACACCGTGCGTCATGCGCATAAATCCACGCACACTACATTGCGTATGGCCGCGTGCAAACGACTTTACGATCGTGACCCATCATGTATGTATACTTCTTACTGGTACACCTAGTCATGCCCAGCGCGAGAGTACACGGCGCGAGTAATGAAATCTCGATTAATCCGTTACCGTCAGATTCTCATTTCAATGAGTCTGGTTCGTCCAAACGATGTCGGCTGACCATGCTCTCGATTTGACGTTCGTTTTGTGCCGGATTAGTACCGTAAAGCGCGCCTGCATCCACGATACAATCGGGGACGTTTCCCGAGCGCTAACGCGATTTAACTTCTCGATTAAAATGTTCGAAGTAATTGGTTCGAATATCGCGAACTAATGAAAGATTTATCCTCTTTTATTACTGAAAACTTTCGACGGAGATACGCGTTTGTCGTTAATACACACCGCGGAAAAGAGTCATTTGCTTTCACCTTCCATCGCGTTGTCGTGACGAAAAAACATCTTGGCATTCAATGAGTTCAGTATTCAACAGCAAAATCATCCTGATTCGTCATATTGAAAGTTAGAAATTGTTTTTCCATTCACGAGCTATTTCCGGAACTTTCGCTCGCAAAATCAGCGAAACCAAAAACGCTTCGCGCTTTCCAATTCTATAATAAATCACTATGTCGAAATTCGAGATAGCGTTCTATTATATATACTTAACAAAATAAAGCGCAATTAACATTTTTTATATTTTATGTCATAAATACAGACAAGTCGTCACTACATTCGATTTTCAATTCCATAATTTATTATTTATTAAAAATTTATCAAAAATCTTGAAATTAAATTAATTTCTATCTCTGGACATGAAAATCGCATGAATTTTGTAAATTAATTTCTAGTTAATAGAAAATATTTCACTATTTATTAAAGAATAAATTTTTTTGTCGCTAGTGATAAATGTTTATTTAATCTTGAAAAATGCGTATTTATTAAAATTTTATATTTTTTTATATTATTCTTTTATGTTTAAAAAAAAATACATCGATATTAGTAATCTTATCTTCATTAAAATGAAAATATAAGGAAAGTTTAATTATTAATCTCAAATGTTTTAAGAATTTGATATAATTTAATTTTCTTTTATAAACAGTAGAAAACGGAATATAATTTATGTAATAAATCAGGTGACTTATTCTAAGTGGATGAAGAACGTGTTGACAACAAACAGAAAATGCACATTTACAAGAATATTTTAAATAAAATCACATAAATCATTTTAAGTAAGGATCATTGTTTAATGTAAAATATATATATTTATTGATGGATCTGTATATACATATACTGTATATCCATTATTATTACCAATATTAGCAATAATAATTATAATTATAGTAAAACATGTAATTATAGTTACAGATAAAACATTTTTCTCTTCTTGTACACTTTATTGTATATAACTCTGTATATTATCTATTTATTATAACTCATAAAATTTATCAAAATTATAACACGGTTGAGCAGTTTTGAGATTGGAATTATTAAATTCAGTATTAAAAATCTATATAAATGATTCTTATTTCAGTTTTGAGATCGGAATATTCAGTATTAAAAATCTACGTGGTTCTTATATTTTCTTTGTTGAATTTGAAAAAAGTTGCTTTAATTGTATTCTATTAGAACTTGACACCTCTATTCATGTATAGTTTTTCTGCATTTCTTTCAGCAAGTAAAAGTGAAAGCACTCGTTCCAGTTGACATTACTCAACCTCTTTTAAGAAAAGGAGGTAAAAAAAAGGATTGTGATAGCGTTTTTGTTCAAGTCTTAAAAGTTTTCCGATACTTTACCGATGAGATCCACGAGATGCACTTATCTCACCCGCGATCAAATGCAAATTCGGTAAGCTGCTTGTTTCGCGTGCTTACGGAGCAAGAAGAGAGAGAAGCGGAATTAGTCGTGCAAGACTGACTAGCCAGGGGATAGACGGAAGAAGGCGCGCCGGATTATGCGAATTAATTCCGAAAGTGCAAACTCTTTCAACTTCTTATCCCGGAGATAGACTTAACGAAACCCTCCTGCTTTGGTTTTCCTTGCATACATAATAGATACTGTGACCTTATTACTCCAGACGCGGAATTCACTTTCGGCAAACGGCAACCAAGAATTTCCTTGACTGTCAGCTGAAACAAAGCAGGACTGTCAGGTTTGACTAATGTCCCAAAAAATTCTTGACTGCGCGAGATGTTTTTTAACGCACTAACTTGATACATCCAATTGTAGTCCTCGGTGCAGATTTTTAGTTATACGTACGATTACAGGCGACAAATTATATATAATAATATATTGTATGTATTTTAATTTTGGTTACACCAAATGAAGAATATATCGTCGACCAAAAGTTTGAAATCGTTAGATGAAAATGTCTATTATATGAAATAAAATTAAATTTGTGAATTACAACTTATATTACATAGTTTGTAACGCGCCCCGAATCAACGCATTGTTCCCGACGAACAGTTTACAATATGTGTTGGGGATCGTGTGGCCACGCTTCAATAATCTACGTAATCATCTACGAGCTTAAATTGGTACAGTATAAATAGAGGAACAGTCTATTATATTCGTAAGTGCGTTAGCTGACTTCGCCAAGTCTGTTCCGGAATAAGCTCGATGAAGTCCCAAGAGGGATGCTTATCACATAATTAGCAAAATAAATTGATGCTGACAAAGGAGAACCGATGATAATCGAAGTTTCGCAGTGAATGTCATTTTAATTATTCTAAGGTTCATATTATCTCACTAAAATAATTTAAGCAATGTATAATTGATTATGAAATAATTTGATGCAATAATCTTTTGGCAGTCTTTTTATCTAGTTTATCGAACATTCGACTTCTTGATCATTGTATTTGTTTTTCAAATAAGTATTATAAGTTATTCTAACTAATTTTTTATTAAGACACTACATTTTTTTAAATGAAAAAGTAAGAAAGTTTTTGTTAGTTTTATATCGACAAAATAAATGATTATTTGTTTCTCTCGATGCAATATCGATGATGGCGATGGAAGTACATTGTCTGAGTTTACGAAATTAATTCGACTAATATTGGCGAGCTGGTCCTCGTCATGAACAGCGGAGCGTTACTTTTCTACGTTGAAAAGATTAAAAACATATGGTTACGAGAATAATTTGGTCATATTAGATGTACAACTTAATTCTCGGTTTTTTTAACGAAAATATATTTATTTACAATTTACATGAAAAGGAATAACCTTCCAATCTTTTAATTTTCTTCAGTCTGACAAGAATTTGGTTCTAAATGCTATTTTAATTTTTCGTCTTCAATTTTGTTTGATTGTCCAGGGCGTTTTTTATCTTGGAGATTGAAATTGCTATCCCGAAACTTTTGAAACTACTTTTTATACATACTATAAGGTATAGCATTTTCACCTAAAGCCGAGCAAATCATTTTCTTAGCCTCATCAGCATTTTTCTTCAATTTAAATGCGAGAAGGAGGCCTTAAATGCTGCTTTTCGAACGACATTACTTTCACTGCTGCGTTTTGAGATTATATCATAACACTGTCAACTATTATATCTCGTTTCAAAGCTGAAGGATTTAGGAAAGGACGTTTTAAATCGACTATACGGTGGGAAAACAATTTTAATTTGAATAAATGCTGTAACCGATTAAATGTAAGGGCTGAAAATTTAATTGTACACTTGATATATCCGTACGGATTTGACGAAGGACATTGGCGATAATCTAGATAAATTGGTGAATGAATTTGTAAGCAAAAATTAGTGGAGAACTTCGACATTTGCAATTATTTAGGTTACAGGTTAATTAAACTAGTAAATAACAAAAATATAAGGACTCTTCATATATAAAATAAATAACAACAAATGAAGGGCGAATTAAGAGTCAGCGCATTCTTTTAAAAAGACATATAATTAAAGACATAGTTTAAAAGTACAGAAAAGATAAAAAAAGAAGAAAAAATGTGTACTAAGAAATAATAACGGTGAAAGATAAACATATAACATTACAAGTTTTGGCTACCGGATTGAGCCCTCTTCAGATGTTAATATAATGGAAACAGAATTAAAAAATAATTGTCGGAAAAGTTCACAGATTAAGAATACACGCAGTTCGGTTGAGTAGCGATGTAGAACTCAACATTATTCGTACGATTGAACAGTCAAAAAAGTGTCATGTCTCATAGCAAAGTTCTAGTTGATAAAAAAGAAAAAAGAAAAAGAACTCTTATGAAAAAAGTAAATTTAAATAAATTGACAACCGTAATTACGATAAGAAGTAAAAACTCACCAGCAAACATATGTAAAAGATCAAAACTAATGTATCAATATACCATCTGATCAAATTTGACCCGGACTGGTCCATTTAAACCGCGCGCGTAAATTGAATCGGTAAAAATTTTTTTTTTCTAGATTGGTACAACCTTCTCTGACATTCGTGTGAAATTTGAGCGGGATACGTCAGTTAGTGTGTGTTTGGCAGCCATTTGTTTACGACGCAAAAAGTTTCTCTGGCGATTTTTACTATGAAAAAAAAAATTGAACAACGAGTTTGCTTGAAATTTTGTGTTTCCAATGGAATTACGGCTACGGAATCATTGAAAATGTTGCAGAAGTGTTTTGGGGAGTCTACTCTATCGAGAACGCAAGTATTTGAGTGGCATAAAGCATTCAGTGAGGGTCGTGAGGTCGTAGAAAACTTGTCTCATGCGAGTCGTCCATCCACCTCTGTTAACGACGATAACATGGAAAAAGTGAAGGAAATTGTGCTTGAAAATCGTCGTGTTGGCATTAGAGAGATAGCAGAAGCTCTCAACATCTCTTATGGATCGACTCAACACATTTTGGTTAATGTTTTGGGTATGAAGCGCATCGCCGCCAGACTCGTACCGAAAGACCTGAATTTTTTGCAAAAAGCACGTCGAGTAGAGGTCGCAGAAGAGATGCTTGCCAACGTAACTGATGACCCTACATTCATCAAACGCGTCATTACTGGTGACGAGACGTGGGTTTATGAATATGACGTCGAAACTGCCCAACAATCTAGCGAGTGGCGCGCCAAAAATGAACCGAAGCCGAAAAAACCACGTCAAAGTCGGTCGAAAATCAAGACGATGCTCATCGTTTTCTTCGATTACCGTGGTGTGGTTCACCATGAATTCGTTCCAGAGGGTCAAACGGTCAATAAGGAATACTACTTGGCCGTTTTGAGGCGTCTACGTGAAGCAATTCGTCGTAAACGGCCGGATTTGTGGGCAGACAATTCATGGATTTTTCACCACGATAATGCGCCGTCACATTCCAGCCTGATTGTGACTGAATTTTTGGCCAAACACGAAATAAAAGTCATCGCTCAGCCACCGTATTCGCCAGATTTGGCTCCCTGCGACTTTTTTCTGTTTCCGAAACTCAAATATCCGCTCCGGGGAACGCGCCATGAATCGATTGAGGCCATAAAAAGAAATTCGCTGAAGGAACTAAAGGCCATCCCGGCCGAGGCCTATAAGAAGTGTATGGAAAATTGGATTAATCGTTGGTATGCTTGTATTGGCTCAGAAGGAGGCTATTTTGAAGGCGATCATAAAGATTTGTATTAAAATACATAAAATTGTTGTTTTTTTTAACCAGTCCGGGTCAAATTTGATCAGATGGTAAGTATTAATAACAAATACCAGTATAAAGAAGAATAGAATGCAGATGTAAAAACGGACATTGTGTATCGACTAATGTGAACGCTCGCTGAAACGAATCACCACGCACTGAGAGAGGGGACGGGCCGTCAGTATAAAAAAAGTCAAACTTTATTTACAATGGGTAAATATGCCTTATGAAGACCTTCAGTGTCCGTTTGTAAATTAAGACTGTTTTTCTGCTTCTTAATGTAAAGCATTTCGGAAATTAAACGTTTCCTATAACAAGGCTCTTCATCTAAGATCGTTGTCCCATTGGAAATCGTGATTGCACTGTAGCCTATGTTCAGTGATGACAGAACGGACAGAAGTTTTATGCCTGATATGATTACGATGTTCAGTAATTCTGGTTTTCAATTGTCTGCCCGTCTGTCCAACATAAGACGTATCGCAATTGTTACACGATATTTTATATACTACATTGCTTTTCGAACTAAATTAGTAAAAAAAATTAATATAAATATTTCATAATTTCGCAGGCTGTCCTCCTCCCTATAGTTGGCAACGATTTCTACGAACAAGACAAGTCATTGGGTCTGTGCATATGGTATCGTAATGTCTATAATTCGTTGCTTGCGAGCAGAGATATTTGCATAAACCCTTCGTCTCAGCCTCGTTAAATCAGTATAAACGTTTGCGATTGAGTTAACGAACCTGCTGAGTCGTCGAACTTTCAGGATCTCATCATTGAGAACAGGCTCGACGAGACGGAGGATATCGGAGGATATCTTGCGAAATCTACGGAGACTTGCAGAGATTGTTCTAACTAGTATAATAGACAGTTAGCTAATACGAGAGGCTAACACCAAGGCCGTGTCGCGACTGGATTTCCAGTGACGAAGTTGATTTTGATTAATAAAGAGCGTCACACGTCGCCATACGTAAACAACACTAATTACAAAGAAATTTTGGCTCACTCTTTCCCAACGAACTGTGATAATGTCCACAAGGAGAGTCTCAGGGAGAACGACAGAGCATCGTAATTGACGCTCCCGACAATGAAGCTGGATCGGCAAACACGGCGATTGATTAATTTAATCTCCCGGATTAACGTCAGAGGCACGAAACTCACTTTCGGGGATTCACCCTTCTAATGATTTTTATGCGTTCTGATTGGACGAGCGTTCATGGTTGACACAGCTCCTGGCCCAGAATTGCTCACGTTGAAAGAAGGGAGTGAACGATAGTGACACAATTTTGTTGCTATTGCTTTGACTAAAAGGATGAATACGTTCGATAAACCATGTTGTCCATGTTAATGTAGAATTTTTCTAGTGGCGTTATGCTAAATGAAATTATACAGCGTCTTAAATCCAATGGGACGTATATCTAAACATGTGTTAAAAATCATGTCTTTGGCGAATATTCAGCTATTAGTCAACTATGGTTCGTATAAAAGAGAATTGTTTAAAATTTAATCAAAAAATATTGTGATAAATACAATCACAAAATATAAATATTTTTTTAAATAATAAGATCGGAAAGTGCCGTCAAACTAACTAAAACTATGAAAAGTCCGACATGTTAATTAATTCATTAATTTCGCATGGCAATTACTCAAGCTGATAGTATAAAGAACTCCGCACTAATTATATGGAATATTGGGTCCCGATAAAATGAGTTATGTATAATGGAGCTTATAATCTCGCGAAGGAAAAGATGTCATAGACATGAAATTCAATAATTGGATAATTTCTGAGTTATGATAATTCCTGAGTTCATATATGATACACATCACACTTAATATGGAGTTTCCAAACACTGAAATGTGTTTTCTCTCATTCAATTTCATTATTTTTTAATTAATTTGGAAAAGAATAATGTTCATGTAAAAAGTAATTATTTTAACGAAGCATATTAGGAACATTAAAATAATCATTTTTTATATCGATACTATTCTCTTTCAAATGAATTGGAAAATGAGGATTAAATGAGATTTCAAAAAATTTTCAAAACATATTAAAAACTTTGCTTATTTAAATTGTTGAAACAATTAAAAAGCATGAAAGCCAACGTTGGTTCTTTTTGCGCAAATAATTTTCCATTGTTATATTGTCATCATTAATTTACATGTGTATTTAATTTACAAACGTTTTAGACCTCTGTCTTGAATTAAAAAATTGTTTAATCATTGTTTTAATTAAATTAACGACATATTGAGTAGAAGCGATAACGATCTACAGAAATAATTAAAAAATAACTCAAGTGTGGATGTAATTTGATGTTATGAATTTAATAGTATATAACATTTGTAGTAATTCTGATCCGCTAAGACTTACGCGATGTATTGTATAATTAACATTTTTAACACTATGAACATTTTTAACATTAAAAACCGTCGATGACGCTATTTTGGCTCTGCTGACGATAAAAAATTTTATAACTTCTGTAAATTTTTGTACTGTTTAATATTTTCTCTAACGTTTTATTACTTGAAAAATTTTATTTACAAAAAAATTAATCAATTTATTTACGTTTATATATAAATAGTTTATTTTTATTTTTACCTCGAACTACCGAAGTCATCAATTTGGCACTTATAACTAAACAAATGGAAGTGTTCTCTTCGCTTTTAATAAATTATTATCTAGATCAAAAGAAACACATATATTTTTATATGTTCTCATATGCACTTTCAGAGAGTGAAACAGTTCTTTGACAAAAATTGATTTTTCGAAATCAGTTTCTTTGTTTTATAAAAACTATAAAAACTATAAAATTATAAAAACTATAAAAAAATGAGAAAACTTTTTCAATAAAAGTTGAGTGGTTTTAAGAATATTTTAGTAATAGTAATAATTGTTGTTAAAAAATTGTTTTAAATTTTTATTTTTTTAAATAAATAATTGTTTATTAAACAAAGATTGTTTATCATTATTGTAAAATATTCTTAAAACCATTCAACTTTTATAGAAAGTATTTTTTTCATGTCTTATAGTTTCAATGATATTTGCTTCAAAAGTAATCGATTATTTGTCTACTATAGCAGTGAAAAAGAGTGATATGCATGAACAGTGAAACTATGCACGAAACTATTATTAAATTGCAATAAAATTGAGTAAAATTTTATTTTGCAGTTATAAAAAATATCAAAAATATGTTAATATGATCTTATATTGTATATAAATAATGTGTGCAAATAATATAAAAATAACGCTTTATTAACCGAAAACAAAAATAAGCGCCAAATTGGCTTAGGAGAATATTCAGTTTCGGCGATTCTAATGTTACAATTTTGATATGGAAAAATTTCTAAAATGTAACTGTAAAGCATAAAAGATGTACATAAATTATAAAATATATGTATAAAATAAAAAAAAATGTTTAAATGCGAACTTTTTTGTGCGCTTGTAGTGAAAAAATGTATTTTATAATGAAAGTCGAGGAGGTGGGCACTCTAAACTGCCTTGTATTTGCTGTTTTAATTTACAGGTACGCGTTTGTTTCGTGACGTGTGCATTTCAGGATTAATATGACTTACATTTTTTATTTTTAATTAAACCACTGACTTTTTAATTGCTCCCATAAGATAGATTTGCACCGCCATTGTAAAATTATCGTGATGCTCATCGGTTATCGTTTACGAAAGTGAAATTCGCGTAGGTATTGGCTATAATAAGATAAGGGGGAGCAGGTGACGTAGTAGCTTTGCCCACGATGGCGATGATTTATGTTGAAAGAAATAGAGATAAAAAGAAAGTAGAATTATAATTCCTTAAATTTAACAAAAAAAATTATGCAAAGCTTCTATGCAAGTTTTGGATGTAGATTTACGTTCTACTTATATTCTATCGCACAGTCATCGAAAAGACAAGTGACAATAATTATTAGTTTCTCTTACGAAAGTGAAACTTTTCCTCCCTTTGGAGTTGAAATAGTCCGCACTGTTTACAGAGCGGTTATAATCTCTATAGAATCAAACATTACGTTTGTTCCAGAGGTGACGATGTACAACGATCGATCGAGCTGTTGGACAAGGTGCTCTCAGAGTACGACGAGCACGACGCAGAGAGCGAAGGTGGCGGCGGTAGCAGCGGTGGTGGTGGTGGTGGTGGTGACGGCAGCGGCAGCGGCAGCGGCGGTGGTGGTGGCTGCGTCGGGAGCGGAAACGGCGGAGGCATCGGGGATTGCGGCAGCAGCACGGAACCAAGCATTGGTCTCACGCCCGACGACGAGAGTCCGTCCTTAGGTACCCTTTTTCCCGTTTATCGTCTTTCCCCATTTCTTATTTCCTAGCGGGACTACCGTTTCCTTCCCTATTTGCCGAACGCAATTAACTAACGTTCGCACGAAAGATGCCACTTGGATTGCTCTTGACGTTTATTATTAATCTTTCTTTTTGCCTAAAAGATACTGGTAAGAACGAAAAAAAGATGGTTATTTTCCTGCTTTGAAATATTATGTATTGATACGAGTTGAAATAATAATATGACAAATTAAATTAACGAGCAATTTAACTTGTGATATTATTACTCTAGCTTCGGTTTAGAGTTGTGTTTTAAGACCGAGAAATAATCGGCGTACAGTTTGCTTGAACTAAAAATTGTATAAATTCACAAGAAATATTAGACACGAAGAATCACCTTGGCTAAATATAGCACTTTTCATTCATTGTGATGAGTTTAATCTCATCG